CTTGAGATTATGATGATTATGCAAGACAAATAAATTTAATATTTTCTTGTATGTGCTAATATTAATTTATGCTGAATTTTTTTATATATATAGAAATTGCTAAAGAAGGCAAGTCCCTACACATCCAAGATTTTGAAGACCATGAAGATTATTGAAGAATTTTTTGGTAGTTAGTAATCTTAGGATAATTTGTAGGATAGAGAGAATATTCTTTTATAAGCACACAAATATTTCTTCTCTCTTTCAAAAATAATTTTTGAAAAATTACCTTAAATAATAAAAATCAAATCCTGATCTTTTTGGTTTATTTTCCTAAAAGAAAAAAATTTTATCTTAATTATTTTTGGTAACAAAATATTTTTTATATCTTTTTATTTTCGAAAATTGTTTTAAAGAAAATCCAAAAATCTTGCTTTATTCGCTTACATTAAAAGAAAAGATTTTGAACCAAAATATTTTTGGCAACAGCATCTTCGTCTCTTAGAATTTGGAAAGTCAAAATTTTTCTTTAAAATCTAAAGATTACAGTTTCTAAAACGAGATCTTTATCGCTCTATGTAAAACGTTTTCTTTGTATGAAAATGTGGGTAGTTCGATTCTCAAGAGTAAGAGTAAATTGGATCAACATTTTTATCTCTCAAAACTCTCTCTTAATCGCATACGCCATATAAATTTATGCACAAAATCAGTGCAACTTCAGAAACATTTGACAATTTTGGTCCAATATCTCTCTGTCTGTTGCTTGGCACGGAATTTTGAGATAATAATATTTTGTCTAAGACTTATATAGAAAGTATTAAAATTATTTTCGGATCATTCCGTGTTGGAGCTTCCGGGACCAAAATCCAAAGGTGCATATCCTTTTGGTTTGAGAAGTAAAAAGATTTTCAAATTAACCCGAAGTCTTTTTCTAAGAGTAATTAACTTTAAAAGTATGGGCAAAAGGTGAAAACTTTGGTCTGAGAATTACATGAACAACAGTGAATAAAATGGACCCTACCCTACCAGCCGCAGACTCTTCTGTGTATAAAAGAAAGCTGCAAAGCAGTCATATACCATAAAATCAGAGTCAGACTGAAGGCAAAAATTTGCATAGATATGTCTGATACCCACAACAAGAAGTCACAGACTCACTGTGCCTCTATTCATTTAATCATCCTACCTAGAGGATCCTGTCCGTGGGATGATCTTTGAACCTAAGCTCAACAAATGGTTAATGAGGAGACCAATGTATTGAAAAGAGAAAACACATTGTGATAGGACAAGCAAATTGAAACTAGTGCCCACTATAAAATGAACCGTTGGATCCTCTAATTGAGAAATCAAAATAACCCTGTGCAAAAAGACACGTGTAATACATCCACAACATACAACTTGCTAAAGAGAGAGATGGGGATTAAGAAAGCTAATTACAGTAATTAAGGATAAATGCAACACACAAAGGACCTATTAATTACTTCGAGATGAAGTAACTATTTTATATTTTAGTCTAATCAACTTGTTATCTTAAAAGGCTGAAGAACCTATAACAACCCCCTTATTTCTTTTCATCTCTTTGCTTAACCAAATATTTTTAAGAAAAAAGAAAAATTTTATAACAATATCTTTTGAAAAATAGTTATATTCTTTAAATCAATTTTCTAATCTTGATTTCTATTTTTCCTGTGCCTATATTTGCATTTCTCTCTGTCTATATAGATTCTGTAATCTGTTGTAGACAGGTTTTTATTTCAGGTTTTTATTTGAAAAACTTGTATGTAATAGTTTAGGTGAAAAGTTATTGTGAAATAGGTTATCAAGCGACCTTCTCCTTGAGTGAGAATCTAATATCTTGATTTAAGTTTCTGTTCTTTGCAAAAACAGAAAGGGTTGAGGTTGATTAGAACCTTTGGAAAATCTAGTGGGACAAAGGCTAGATCTAGGTATTGAAAAGAGATAACATAGTGGAGGATCTCAAGATGAGTCTTGGAGAGTGGATGTAGCGAGTTAGTGCCGAATCACTATAAATCGTTGTGTTTATCTTTTCTATTTTTTGAAGTTTAGCTTGATTCCATTTTACTTACACTTCTGTTAGTTTTTTAGAAATGCAAAGTTGTTCATAATTTTATGGTTCTAAACTCGGATAAGCTTTATCTTTATTGAACTTTAAAACTCTAGATTTCTGCATTGTGATTATAACAAGTTCTAATCTATTCTTCTATATTATCTATTCTTCTATATTTAATGTAAATCACAACTTGAATTTTAATCAGTTTTCTAATATTGCTTAAAGTTTTGTGGAGCAGTTCTAAATTCAATAATTGTCTTTCACAGAGTATTTCTAATCTTGCATTAAGTTTTGTGAGAAAGTTCTAATTTTGATAGCTAACTCTTACAAACGCTTTCTATTTCCGCTGTAACAGAATTCTGATTTTTGTTTTCAAAAGTTTAATTTTTTAGAAAACTCAATTCACCCCCTTTTGGGTTGTGCCATACATAAACGGGATCCACAAATTTCTAATACAATGGAAATTACTAAATAAAAATTATACTATGAATTCAATATATAAAAATAAATATATATTAAAATTAAAATTTTAAATTGAATATTTCTAAATAGGAATAATATGATGATGATCCAATATATACTTTATAATATTTAATATTAATAATAATATATAAAATATTATATATATATATATATAATATATAATATATATAATATTCCTATTATTATTAATAATGTTATTTTATATTTATTTTTTATAATAATTGAAATATATTAATGAAAATCTAAGGATATAATCACAATGCTACATGATTGAAAAATTTTCCTACTCATATTCATATTCACATCATTATATATATTATTGAAATTTACAATTATATATATTTATAAATATAAATAATAAAAACTATTCTATTAATTTTGTAAATGGAAAAAGTTAATATTATACTTACCACAAGAAGAAGACATGATTGCAAACTCAATAACTTCAAATTAGCAAAAGCTTAATGTAATAATTTTTAATAGTCAAAAGCAAAAAATAAAGGCAATAAATTTTTGATATTGAAAAGCAATTAAATCCTAACATATATATAGTTTTATAGGCTGTCAAAATGAATTGTCATATCGAGTTCGACACAAATTTGCCTAACACCGACATGAATACAAACGTGAGCCATTTAATTATCGTATCAAATTTGTCGACACGAACACGATGCAAAGATTGAACAGGTGACACGAACACGACACATGTAACCCGCTTAATATTATAAACAGATTAAATGAGTTGTGTTGACCATGTACAACCCGTGTAACCTGCCTAATATCATAAACATGTTAAGTGGGTCGTGTTGACCTGTATATGACTCACTTAATCCACTTATAATATTTTAAATTTTAACATGTTTAACTCAACTCATATTTAAAAATAATTTTCATACATAAAATGCATAGATTCTTCATTCACGACTAAAATAAAAAAATTAATGCAACAATAAATTTTAAATAGGTTTTAGTTGGAGTATTTATATTTGACACTAAAAATTACATTTTTACTCTTAAATAAATGGGCCACTCGCCTAACCCGTGACATGACACGTTTATATTTGTGTCATAAATAGATGACATATTTATGACACGAACCATTTAAAATCACCCTAAGTTGTTTATTTCATGTATTAGGCGAATCGTGTTGTGTGTTAAACCCATTTTGACACCCCTAGGTATGATAGGATAAATTTCTAATTAGAATAAGATTAAATTTATAATATTAATATAATAAAAAGATTAAATTTATAATATTAATATAATAAAATAATAAATTGATATCACATTAGAATACGATTAAAGTCAAATTTCTAATTAAAATGGGATTAAATTTATAATATTAATGTAATAAATAAGACTAAATTGTCTTTCAATCAACCAATAAAATTAAAAGTCTGTAAGGGCGTTTTGGGAACCGAATGTTCACCATTCGTACTTTTATATATATTAATCTTTTTATAACGTGCGATGCATGTTGACCATACTCGTTATTCATACTTGTTCAATTTTTTATGTCAGTTTTACTCGTTTTTATTTTTTAATATTAAATATTGATTATAATTTTTATGTCATATTATTTAAATTTTTATCATGTTAAAATAAAATTTCATATAAGATTAATATGAATATAACGATTAATTAATATAAAAGCAGTGTGTATATACACACACATTTCAACTTAATTTATATTATTATTTATCTAAAATTCATTATAATTACAATATCACCTAATAATTATATTTCAATATATATAAGAATAAAATATTACATATATTTTTCTCAAAATTGGCCGAATGCATAATTTCCCCCTCTACTTTCACGCTTTAATTATTTGTCATCCTAAACTTAACAAAGGACCTATCACACCCTTTAAATTATTAATTTTGTAAGCACTTGAAAAGTTAAAAATATATCTAATTCACCAACTAAAGAAAATAATTTAATTTTTTTTTATACATATTACAAAATTCCCTTTTTAAATACTAAAACTATTTGAACCATTATTAACTTTTTTTTTTTTTTTTGAAGAACCATTATCAACACTAAAATCTATAGTAAATGAATATATTGAAAATTTCTTGTTAAATTAAAATTAGAAGAAAAAAATTCTGCCAAAAGAAGTTGTAAGAAAAAAAGAAAGAGCAACCTGCAAAATAAGAACAAATAGAAAAATATAAAAATTGCAGAAAATGCACAAATACAAAGCAAAATGCAAAAAACAACCTGTAAAAATAATGAACAAATAGAAAATACAAAAAAAAAAAAAAAAAATTTTTCAAAAATGTACTTCTGGGTTCATGTACTTCTTCCAAAATTTGCAGATACTGTGTCTGTACAAAAATATTTCAATTTCAGATTTTGGTTTCCAAATAAATATCGTCTCTTTCCAATTAACCTGAAACTGTCACACTAACAAATTAAATAGGTAGTTTGTTAGGATTAGATTCATGGTATTAATGAGCAAATGCAATGACGTCTAAGTATTAATCCAGACAGGAAGATTCCATTCCATTTAGAGCCAAGAAGATACGACTGAAGTTTTCTTCTGCAACAACGGTAATAAATCTAAAATCTCACATACAAATAGCACAAACATTTGGTCGTACAAGCATTGAAAAAACAAAGTAGTTCTTTACTTCATCATTCTTCTTCTTTTTATTTTCTTCCCCCCTAAAGCTCCAAATCTTCTGTTCTTTTCAATAATCCATATGAGTAGTTTGGGTCATCAACAACTGCACTTTTTTTTCTTCCCCTTCATGTCTCATGGCCACATGATACCAGCAGTAGATATGGCAAAGCTATTTGCTTTTCGAGGCCATAAAACAACAGTTGTCACTACTCCTTCAAATGCACCTCTCATCTCCAAAACAATCCAACGAACAAAAGATTTGGGTTTTGATACCAATATTCGAATCCTCGAATTCCCTTCAGTTGAAGCCGGACTACCAGAAGGTTGTGAAAACATGGATTCTATTAATTCATATGACAATGATAATATGATGGACAAATTTTTGTTAGCTACAGCTAAGCTTCAAGAACCTCTTGAAAAGCTCCTTCAAGAATGCCGCCCTAATTGTCTTGTTGCTGATATGTTCTTTCCTTGGGCTACTGATGCTGCTTCCAAATTTGCAATTCCAAGATTAGTGTTTCATGGCACTAGTTTCTTTTCTTTGTGCGCCGGAGAATCTATTAGGCTGTATCAGCCACACAGAAAATTTTTATCAGATTCAGAGCCCTTTGTCATTCCAAGTCTTCCAGGAGAAATAAAGATAACAAGAAAACAACTCCCCAGTTCTTTTAGAGAAGAAGTTGAAAATGCTTTTACTAAGATGATTAAAGAATCGATGGAGTCAGAGTTAAAGAGCTTTGGAGTGGTTGTAAACAGTTTCTACGAGCTCGAGCAAGCTTACGCTGATCATTACAGGAATGTTTTGGGCAGAAAGGCATGGCATATAGGCCCAGTCTCGATATGCAATAGAGGAATGGAAGATAAAGCACAAAGAGGAAAAGAAGCTTCCATTGATGAACATGAGTGTTTGAAATGGCTAAACTCCAAGAAACCGAATTCAGTTATTTATATATGTTTTGGAAGTTCATCTAATTTCAGTGACTCTCAACTTAAGGAAATCGCAATAGCTCTAGAAGCTGCTGGACAAAAATTCATTTGGGTAGTGACAAGAAACAAGAATAGTGAAGGAAATGAAGAAGAATGGCTGGCTGAAGGATTTGAGAAGAAAATGGAAGGGAAAGGACTTATCATAAGAGGGTGGGCGCCACAAGTGTTGATTCTTGAACATGAAGCAATAGGAGCATTTGTGACTCATTGTGGATGGAATTCTACACTTGAAGGTGTAACTTCAGGGAAACCAATGGTCACATGGCCTGTATTTGCTGAGCAATTCTTTAATGAGAAGTTAGTGACTGAGGTTCTGAAAATTGGGATTGGTGTCGGTGCTAAGGAAATTGTTAGATTGCGTGGGGATTATATTAAAAGAGAAGCTATAGAGAAGGCAATTAATAGAGTTATGGCAGGCGAAGAAGCTGAGGAAATGAGGAGCAGAGCAAGACAGTGCGGAGAGATGGCAAGACAAGCTATTGAAGAAGGTGGATCTTCTTACTCTGATTTCAATGCTTTAGTTCAAGAGCTGAGCTGTTATCGTGAGTGAAGAAATTAGAGAAAAGAAGAGAACACATTTAGAATAATATGCTAATAAAATCATAAAGCATATTTTCTTTTTCGATTTTTCTTATTTCAATTTCAGTTTGTGGTTGTTGGGATTGATGAAATGAAAAACCAATGGATATTACAAAAGCTATGGAATTTAAAATTTTTCTTGTTTTTAGAAATTAAAAATTATTTTTTTTATTGAAAAACAAAATTTATGGATTTAAGGGTCTGTTATAATAGCTATTAGCTGATTTAATAGTTATTGGTTATTAAGCTATCAAATGTTTATGTTGAGTAAAAATAGTATTTTTATTGGCATTTAAATTTAAAATGACAATATAAGTCCCGATAAGCTATAGACAAGAGGCGGCGAATTATGATTTTTAAAAATTTAGGCTTTTAAAGACCTTTTTCAAATGAATGTCCAATAAATAGCCACATTATAAGAGCATATAAATTACGTAAATATGTAAACAATTTAACATATTCAATGAATATCCACATTATAAGAGTATATAAATTACTTAAATATGTAAACAATTTAACATGTTCATTAAAATATCAAATCTGGAAATTTTTCTGATTCTAGCTCATCGAAAATAAAGCATTTCTGCAACTCAAATTCAGTTTTGGTACAAAGTAGATTTCAATCACAAAGTATACACAATTTAGCACATAGAGCAATTGATCAACCAATATTCAAGGATATCATCATAATATATTTGTGTGAGTAAGTAATTTCAAGCAAAGCCACAAAGAGAAAGAAAAGAGGAGAAATCTAATACAAAAAATTTATAGTGGTTTGGCACTCAACTCACCTACATTCATTACTCAAGAATCCATCTTGAGATTCTCCACTAACCTACTCTTTTCAATGGCAAAAGTAAAGCCTATTACAACGGAAATAATCTTATCACTTAGAGCTAACCATAAGCCACAAGTTTTTGCAAAGAACTTGTAAACTTAACCCTACTAGTTTTTATAAAGAATTAGGAAACTTAACTTATTTTTGCAAAGAACAAGTAAACTTAACGTCTAGTTTTAGTAAAAAACTAGAAAACTTAAACTCTAGTTTTTCTAAAGAACTAGAAAACTTAACTAGTTTTTTCAAAGAACTAGCAAATTTGTAAGACTTATTCTAATACAAGATGGATGCTTGAAAACCCTTACAAACAAGCTTTACATAAAGTTGTCATTCACAGATTTTGAGATTAAAAAACTTATATCCATTCTAGATTACAAAAACTACAATAGATAGAGGGATATGCTAAGTTCGGCTTAGGAGAAAGATTTTTAAATATGAAATCAGTTTTGTTTAGAAAATCTCCCTCCATAGAATTGGTTCTATTATCTTCTCTTAGATATAATGCAATGAAGCAAGATAAAGAACAGAGATGAGAGAATTTGTATTTTGAAAATTAAGAGCAAATAATTTCTCTCATAAAAATCAATTTTCTCTTTTCTTTAGCAAACAATCATGAAAGCAAGAGGAAGAGAGATGAGAGGATTTAAATAATAAAAATTAAGAACAAATTTTAACTCTCATACCTTGAAGATTTCTACCAAATCATGTTTTATACTCAAATTGCATTTTTCTTCCCGTTGGAGATGAAAGCAAGTTAACGTTACGAAGAAGAGAGAAAGAATAAGGGTTGTTTGGTGGCAGATTTAGAAAAGAGGGAAGATGGGTGTGGGATTAACTTAAATAGGCAATGGGTCTAGTCTTTGAGAGGCTCAATGCAAGATTTGAAATTTTTATTTCCCACTAAAATATTTTTAGATCACAAACACAAATATTTAAATTGAAAGCAAGTTAACGTTACGAAGAAGAGAGAAAGAATAAGGGTTGTTTGGTGGCAGATTTAGAAAAGAGGGAAGATGGGTGTGGGATTAACTTAAATAGGCAATGGGTCTAGTCTTTGAGAGGCTCAATGCAAGATTTGAAATTTTTATTTCCCACTAAAATATTTTTAGATCACAAACACAAATATTTAAATTTTGAAAAGAAGAGTTTGTGAAATATTTTTCCTTTTTCAAACAACATTTTAATTAAAGCAAATCTTTTAAATACCATTTTTGAAAAACTAAAAGAAAGATAAATTAAATATAAGCTTAATTAGGTATATTCTTTCTTTCTATTTTAACATTGAATAATTAATCCTAAAAATAACTAAGACACTAACCAATATGTCTTCAATCTTCAAAAGTCTTCATCTTCAATCTTCAATATATGATTAATTTGAGTCTTCAATGAACAAATTTATTTTAATTAAAATTCCTACATATAGACTTAGTACACATACACATGATAATAAATTCAATTTATTATTTCGTTACTCATCAAAATAGAAGGGTGTAAACCTTGAGCCAACAGACAAAAAAGATATTAGAATTTTCACTTAGAATTTTTACTTATAGCCATAGAATTAAAAATGATTTCACTAAACCTAAATTTTCAAAATTTAAGGGAGTAAAATTAAAAAGTTCAGTATTTTATAAATAAAATTGAAAATTTTTTAATAATTTAGGGATCAATATTTTAATTTTTGATATTTACTTGAGTTCAAATGCAAATATATAAATTTTTTTTTTCTTTTACTATTAATTATAAACAAGCCAAGTATAAAACATAATAAAAAGACCTAGTGTGATACCTGAAAGATTTTAATTAATTAAGGATAGGGCTATAAAAAAATTTTAGTAAATAGGAGTAAAACACTAATTGTTAGGTGGGATAACATTTTAGAAAACCCTCCTTCATCCCTAAAAGTTACGTTATTTATCAGGTTGCCAAACACAATAATATAGAGAAATAGTATTTTGACTACTACCTCCGCTCTGTAATACTTGTTACATTTGAGAAAATAGTTTGTTCAAAAATACTTATCACATTTGTGATTTCAATAAATAATAAATATTTTTTCCATGTTTCCCTTTATACATACCAATAATTATTACTTTAATTTAATGGATTTCTTATAGAATTAGTATTAAATTAAGGGCAATATAATCAATTTAGTCAATAATTTATTGTAATTTAAACAAATTTAATGATTTTCTTAAGAGACGTGAAATTTCAAATGTGACAAGTATTATGGAACAGAAGTAGTAGTTCAAAACATTAAAAGCTACTCTAAACGTTGTTGCTGAACGCACTCTAAATTAGACTTGGCCATATTACGGTTCCGGGAACCGGAACCATCGGTTCGAACCTGCCCGAAACTGTAACCGGAACCAGTGAGAACCGGAACCGGGATGAACCGGAACCGAAACCGGAAAAATCCGGTTCGGTTCCGGTTCCAGCAAATAAGGAACCGAAACCGGCGGTTCCAGAGAACCGGTCGGAACCCCAGGGCAAATAAGGAACCGGAAACTCGGCGGTTCCAGAGAACCGGTCGGGAACCGGACTGGAACCGCCGGTTTCTCCGTCCGGTTAGAACCGCCGGTTTCAAACCGGCTTCAAACCGACGGTTCTATGCCGTTGTAAACTGTTAGATTTTGCAGTTTTTTTTTAATTATGTTGTGAAATGTCTTAATTACCCCCTCCCAACAGCCATAAACGGTACTAACGGACTAATTTCGGCTACATAACGGCTAGTTTCAAGGGTATTTTTAGAAAAATGAATTTTTGGATTTATTATAAATACCTCATTTTATTTACAAATTCATTACAAAAACATCTCAACTCTCTCTACAATATACTACACTCTCTACTTACTCTCTCTACCATATACTACACTCTACTCTATATTAATCATTTATTCTTCTCTACTCTACTCTATATTCTTACCATGCAAATTTTCGGGTACGCTTCTAACCTTCTTTATTTATATATTCTGAAAAAATACAAAAAGAAGAATTAGCAAAAATGATTTCTATGGAACATTTATCTTTTAGTTTTGGTGAAAAAGTAGGTTTTCCCTACAAACGACATCTATGATATGATTCCCGACCAATGTAATTTTGAGGGTTTTCCAAATGAAAATTTGGATATTCCAACTCAAGAATCCGAATTTAATGAGCAATTTTAAGAAGATGAAGAGCAAGAGCAAGAGCTACGAGCAAAAATTGTTACAAGAGCAAGATAAAGTTCCGACATATTCTCCATTCATTTCACAAAAAAATTCAAAGGTGAGAAAATGTACGATATAATTTGCAATTAAGTGTACGATGTAATTTGCAATTATTGTGAAAAATCTTATAAATTTAAACAAGTGGGCAGCTATGGATCATTTTGGAAGCATTTGGAGACAAAAACATCCAACAAAAATAGGAGTTGATCGGTCTCAAACATAAATTTCTGGGTACGCATCTTCTAACCTTTCTTTATTTAAATATTCTTGAAAAAATACAAAAAGAAAGAAATTAGCAAAAATGATTTCTATGGAAATGATTTCTATGGAACATTTATCTTTTAGTTTTGCTGAAAAAGTAGGTTTTAATAATTATTGTCAAAAAGCTTTAAATCTTTGTGCTAGAAGAGTACCAAGAAATACTGTAAAACGAACTATTATTTCTTTATATAATAAAGGAAAAAAAGAATTAAAGCTTTTATTTTCTCAATTGAAAATTCGTGTTTCAATTTGTTATGATGTTTGGAGTGATTATTGGCAAATGCATTCTTATATGGGTATTACATGTCATTGAATTGATGATGATTGGAAAATTCAAAAAAGAATTATTGGTTTTCGTGTTTGATGATAAACATACTGCAAATAATATTTATAGAGTAATTGTTTCCAAATTTTTAGATGAATATAATTGACCAAAAAAAAAATTTTTTAATCATTTGATAAATGCTTCTGCAAAATACTCAGATCCAATTATTGAAACTTAAAAAAAATTTGGAACTACAATATTGGTGGTAAAATTTTTTCATATAAAGATGGCATGCCCATGTTTTAAATTTATGTGTTACAAGATGCAGTTTAAAACATTCTTGATTCTTTTATTTTTCTCCAAATAAAAAGCTATTTCATATTATTGGACAACCATCTCCAATGATGAAAAAGTTGGGCTAAAAGTTGGGCTAAATTTTGTAAAGAAAATAATAAAAGACCAAAACGTTTTCCAAGGGATGTCCCAACTCGTTGGAATTCAACATATAAATTACTAAACTAGTCTTTTTCTTATAAAGAATTATTATGTTTTTTTGTTACTAATAATATTGAGGATATTAACTTATATCCACAAAATTGGGAGATTTGTGCAAAAATTTTAGATATTTTAAAAATTTTTAATGATGCTACCTATAAATTTAGTGGGGTTTACTATCCCACATCTAATTTATTTTTACCTATGTGTATTAATATTGTTACTGCACTACAAGAATTTCAAAATGATGATTTATTAAAAGATTGTATTTTTTCAACAAAATTTTGTTTTATCAATGAAAAAAATGGTTATCTTATTTTAAAAATATACCACCTCTTTTTCTTGTTGCTTGTGTATTTGATCCTAGATGTAAATTTGAAATTTTATCTAAATATTTGACTCTTTATTATGAAATATTAAATCTTGATTGTTAGAAGATAATGTTAATATAAAATGTAGTAATGCATGAAGTTAAAAACAAAATATTATGCAATTATATTAATGAATTTTTCAAGTTTTCTAGTTCATCTACTTCTATTTCTACTTCTTCTCAATCTAATATTCCACAATTTTCAACATAAAGGGTAAGTGGTGTTGGTGTTGCTCAATAAGTTTCATTGCAAAGACAAAAAAGAACAAGGGAATCCAGTTCTATTTCTGAATTTGATAATTATCTAACAACTTCTTTTGAGTTTGGTGATGATTATGCTGATGCAGATTTTCCAATTTTAGATTGGTGGAGTCGTCACGCAAATACTTTTTCAATTCTTTCTTTACTTGCAAAACAAATTTTAGTAGCTCCGGTCTCCACTGTTGAGCTTTCAGTCTCCACTGTTGCACTGTTGCGGTTGAACAAGCTTTTAGTCAAGGAGGTAACATATTTGATGAAACACGATCTCGTATGACACCCGATTCATTAGAAGCACAAGTGTGTGTGGATGATTGGACCAAAGCCGAACTAAGAGCCCAAGAAAATCCAAAAGAAAAATGAAGATTTATTTGATTTATACGATGGGTCCTCAACGGGAACATCAACCGGTGGTGCAAATAGCGATACGTAGGCAACTTAATTTTTTTTTTAAACAAAAAAAAATTAAGTTCAAGCCCAATTTTTTTTTTTAAATTATGTTCAAACTTAAAAAAAAAAATATTTTTTTTACAAAAAAAACTTAAAGTTTGCCATTTTTTTTTTAAATTAATGTTAAACTAAAAAAAAAATTTTTTTTTTAAAAATCATTATGTTACACTCAAACAATTCAAGTCTTTCAAAAAATAAATTTATATTTGAAGTATTTTTTTAATTTTTTTAGGTGTATTTTTAATTTTTTTATTGTTTCAAATAATTTTTTTTAAACCGGTCTTCCAAATTTTAAAAATTTTTTAGGTGTATTTTTTAATTTTTTAATGTTTCAAATATTTTTTTTTTTTAACGTCTTCATATTTAAAATTTTTTACTGTTACTTTTTTTAATTTTTTTATGTTCACATAATTTTTTTTTAAACCGGTATTTTAAAATTTAAAATTTAAAGATTATGCGATTTTCGCCCGAAAACCAATCGGAACCGTCGGTTTTTGTATACGGATCACACGGAAACCAGGAACTGGAACCGAGTCGGACCGGTTTCAAACCGGTTCAACTCCGGAACCAGGACCATCTCTGTTCGTTTCCGAATTCCCAGCTTTTTTCGGAACCGGAACCGCCGGTTTCCGGAACCAGTGGCCATGCTTACTACTAAATGTCACATAATTTTTTTTTTAAACCGGTATTTAAAATTTAAAATTTAAAATTATGCGATTCGCCGGAAAACCAATCGGAACCGTCGGTTTTGTAATCGGATCAGAACCGGAACTGGAACCGGAGTCGGACGGTTCCAAACCGGAACTGGAACCGGACCATTTCTGTTCGGTTCCGATTCCAGCTTTTCGGGAACCGGAACCGCCGGTTCCGGAACCGTGGCCATGCTTACTCTAAATGCAATAATCAAATGTATCAATTTCATAAATTATTTACATTTCATAAATTATTGGCTTTTTTTTTAATGTAGAACAAAGGAATTTAGTAAATTAACAGAATGTTTAAATTTCCGACTAGTTGGAATGAAAAAAAAATGTATATTTAAATATGTTTAAAATATAAAAGAGAGTATCAACAAGATGTTTGTTGTGGTAGTAAGCGATCTTAACTCATAAAGATGAACAAAAGTTCAATCATCACGAAGCAAACTTATTAGAAATCAAAAAATCCTTACGCTCTATGGTCGAAAAGGGATTATAGCTCATAGTTCTAAAAATTTAAAAAAAAAAATTGTAGAAGTGAGTCTATTTATATAGATAATACAACAAAGTTAATTCTTACTGCTTACTGAAGTGGGATTATTATATGTTGACTTACCACAAAAAGGTTATATTAGAAAACCTACCAGATTTACATAGGCTAATATTAATGGCTGAATACATAAATTTTACTTTCGAATTTTATTATTTTAATTTTGTAGCGCTTTTAATTTTTACTTTGGCCTATTAAATATTTTGACTTATAAAATTACATATATTAAACACTTCAGCTTATAAAATTAGAGCAATTAAACACTTAGTATATAGTTGAAAAATGTAAAAATTATTGTTTCAGAAACTATGCTAACTACACTTTAAATTAATATTTTGCATATAAAAATCAAAAACCTAAAAACTATTGCTATTAGTATGAAAATATGTGTAATGTTATCAAAATTTGCAAGTTTAAAGTGCATGATAGGTCATTTACAAAGTTCAAAGTACCACAAGATTAAAATTTTAAAGTTAAGAGATGTATTTAGGTATTTGGCCTAATTCTAATTTACTCCAATACCCTTCTTCAAACTCAAGGCGGTTGACTAAGAAGCCATATTTACTCTAATACCTTCATTCCCACTTTAGGGACGTTTAATATTGTCCAAAAAAGGAAATAATTAGTGATGATAAAAGAAAAAACAAACATCTCTAAAATTCAGCTTCTCTTTTCCCTTGATTTTATTGATATTTATAAATAAACCAACCCTAATAATTTTACTTTTTACAGTAAAAAATTACCTGTTGCTCTGCTGCTTCCCCTTCCCTCCCAAATAAGCATTATCTTCTGAGACAATTATAACATGTCCTAATCATAACTTGTTTAGAAATGAGTAGCGTCGATACACCAATTAAAACAATAAGTTTCAAACACAAGAACTTAGGTAAATTTGAGGAGAAAATTATATTATCCTTGAATGCATGCATAAAGATCAACAGCATTACATGTTAATTTATAGGGAATATAACAATAATACTAAAATTAAGGAAAATATGTTAAATAAGGAAGAAGACTAAAATTAAGAAAAACTAGCTAAATAGCAAAATATGTAAAATAAAAAATTCTAACTAATAGGTAAACACTTGGATAGAAAAATACTCGATAAGAACTTACACCTTAAAAGCACTTGGAAGACAAGAAAACTAAATAGATTGGATGCCCCATAATCAGCTTCCACAAAATCAAAATTAAGAAATTCTTGCTTGCTAAGAAACACCATAACCTCATGTCTAACCTCAAAAACTTGAATCTTCTATCTATATCGATCAACTGCTGCTTTGTACTTTGTGTTAGCCTTTTCTAAACTTTTCTTGACATCGTCGAACGGTCTTGATTTGCTCAGCTAAATTTTCTGTTGTAATGCTAAGTCTATAAACTCTTCGAAGTTTAACTATTTTCAACACATGATTAGGACCTTAGTGTAAATAATGGAGAAAATAATTGGGTTCATGCCTCTAATTTCATTAATTTTCAGTCTTGAAATTTAGATAGGATTGAGTTAAGGTTTATGGTGGAATAGGAAAGAAAGTTAAATTTGTCGATAAATAAAAGAAAATTTGTAATTGAATTAAGGATGAAAGAATTTTAAATCAGCGATTCTAACCCACTAATATCTCAACAACATATGAATACATCCTGGTATAACTAATTTCCATAGTTTCATCAAATGTAAATGCCCTTCCCCAAATCGTTTTATCATCCTACAATAGAGTTAATTTCATATATAGTCCCTAAACTTAACACATATTGCATATTATGGTGTCTTAATTTTTTATTTATAACTTAAAAATGATTCAACTTTAATTTTCTAATGTAAAATGTCTTTGTCCATTACCAACATAGTGTTGGTTAGGGATCGTTGAAGTGGTTAACGACTTCAATGTCTATAAGGGTAAGGACACAAGTTCAATCTTCGGAAAGCGCACTTTGCTGAAAAAGTAAAAAATCTTTACTTTCTAAGATGCGAAAAAATTAAATCTCCTTGTCGTACCCAAAAAAAAAAACCTTTGCCCATTTTAATTGAATTAACTTTTTTTGAATAAATTCTTAAATATTTACTAAGGATGAGGTTTGCCCATTTCAATTGAATTAATTTTTGTTCAACAAATTATTAAATATTTACTAAGGATCGGGTATATTAACCGAATTTTTAGACATACCGTTGCTGTACTGATAAGCTCGCCTGAGTGGTTCATCCTAGTTACTCCAGCTGGGTTCAATTCCCCTAAATTAGATTTACTTTTGAGGAGAACCTTTCCTTGCCCTGAAAGTGATTGGTCCAAGAATTTCTCCATTCAGCATTTTTTGGTTCTGCCAAAATCTACAGATCTGTAAAACTGTAACACCCAAACGAGAAAACAACAAGAAATCAGTTTTCCAAATAAAATATTACTGTTCCAGAAATTTTCATGTTACCAAACTACAGAAGTAGTAGATTTAGATTAGGATAAGTTTCATGGCTTAAAACCCTCTTGAAACTTCTTTCCATTACCGTATATATCAAGAATGACGAATGCAAACACGTACGTGTAGGTATTGAAGACTCCAGGCTGGAATATTCTATTCAATCAAGAAGGTACAATCAAATATTCCACACGCAAAAAATATCACATATATGCATTGGAAAACAAAGCATTTTTCTTTAGTTTCATCATTCTTTTCTTTCTTTTGGTTCTAAAGCTCCAAATCCTCTGTTCTTTTCAATAATCCATATGGGTAATTTGGGTCATCAACAACTGCACATTTCTTTCTTCCCCTTCATGGCTCATGGCCACGTGATACCAACAGTAGACATGGCAAAGCTATTTGCTTTTCGAGGCCATAAAACAACAATAATCACTACTCCTGCAAATGAACCTCTCATCTCCAAAACAATCCAACGAACAAAAGATTTGGGTTTCGATATCAATATTCAAATCCTCAAATTCCCTTCAGTTGAAGCCGGACTACCAGAAGGTTGTGAAAATTTAGATTCTGTTATTTCATATGATAATAGTCAAGACATTATGGACAGATTTTGGTTAGCCACTGCTAAGCTTGAAGAACCCCTTGAAAAGCTCCTTCAAGAATTCAAACCTAATTGTCTTGTGGCTGATATGTTCTTTCCTTGGGCTACTGATGCTGCTGCCAAATCTGGAATTCCAAGATTAGTGTTTCATGGCACTAGTTTCTTTTCTTTGTGCGCCGGGGAATCTATTAGGCTATATGAGCCACACAAAAAAGTTTTATCAGATTCAGAGCCGTTTGTCATTCCAAATCTTCCAGGAGAAATAAAGATAACAAGAAAACAACTCCCCGTGTTTTTTAGAGAAGAAGCTGAAAATAATTTTACTAAGATGATTAAAGCATCTAAAGAGTCAGAGTTGAAGAGCTTTGGAGTAGTTGTAAACAGTTTCTACGAGCTTGAGCAAGCTTATGCTGATCACTACAGAAATGTTCTGGGGAGAAAAGCATGGCATATAGGCCCAGTATCATTATGCAATAGAGGAATGGAAGACAAAGCACAAAGAGGAAAAGAAGCTTCCATTGATGAACATGAGTGTTTGAAATGGTTAAATTCCAAGAAGTCGAATTCTGTTATTTACATATGTTTTGGAAGTGTATCTAGTTTCACTGACTCTCAACTTAAGGAAATTGCAATAGCTCTAGAAGCTTGTGGACAAAATTTCATTTGGGTAGTGAGGAGAAACCAGAATAGTGAAAGAAATGAACAAGAATGGTTGCCAGAAGGATATGAGAAGAGAATGGAAGGGAAAGGACTTATCATAAGAGGTTGGGCGCCACAAATGTTGATTCTTGAACATGAAGCAACAGGAGGATTTGTGACTCATTGTGGATGGAATTCTACACTTGAAGGCGTGAGTGCAGGGAAGCCAATGGTAACATGGCCTGTGTCAGCTGAGCAATTCTATAATGAGAAATTAGTGACTGAAGTTCTGAAAATTGGGATTGGTGTTGGTGCCAAGGAATGGGTTAGGTTGCATGGGGATTATGTTAAAAGTGAAGCTATAGAGAAGGCAATTAGTAGAGTTATGGAAGGTGAAGAAGCAGAGGAGATGAGAAGCAGAGCAAGGAAGCTTGGAGAGATGGCAAGACAAGCTGTTGAAGAAGGTGGATCTTCTTGCTCTGATTTCAATACTTTAATTCAAGAGTTGAGCTGTTATCATCAATTATCCTAACATAATTGATGGGCATATTTTAGTTTTCCATTTTCTTACTTCAGTTTCAGTTTCTCTCTTTTTAAGTTTTGTATCTTCTCAAAAACTGTTTGGTTTTCATTGGATCTTCCATCCTATCTTCGTAATGCATATCTTTCTTACTTCTCTAGAAAAAGAATAACAACAAAAAATGGTACGATGACAACATATCGATTACAACAATGAAAACGAATTAATGTCTGGTTCAGTTGTTTGCAACCAATAATTACATAAAATGACTTAGCTGAAATTTATAGTCAACAGCTCATAATTAATAGAAATCTCAATCAATTTACAATTCTATTAGAATGTTGACTATAAGCTTTCAAATGAATTTTTTTTCTAACTAGACAGATTTGGGTAGTGAGGAAAGACCAACAGTGAAGGAAAGGAACAGGAATTGTTGCTGAAGGATTTGAGAAGTTAGCGGTGCGTAGATTCTAAATGAAAAAGCCAACCCGGTAGGTGCTTCTCGATTTGGTTTGACTGAGCTGTCCAGCAAAATTCGAAAATTACATTTTTGAAATAAGGTTAATTTTTCATTTGATCCGGTATTTTGCCAAAAAAAATGAAATAATTGATTTCTATAAAGAAAATATATAACCCGAATGGAGGTAATTCAGCCGCAAACAGTACTTGTGGGGTTGATCAATATGGATTAGGTAAACCCTTTGCCTTCGAGAGCAAACGGAATTAATAAAGCGTATTGTGCACTGTTAAAATAGACATGGACCTAAACATCCATGCAAATATTAAAAAAAAATGTATGAATTTTGATTAAAAATTTAAATTCGAAATCAACTATTTTCGGCGCATCCAATTTAATTTTTATTAATAATAAAATTCAATTTGGTTCAACTACTTATATAATTCAATTTAATTATTATATTTTTATAATTCAGTCATTTTTAATTAGAAGTGTTCGGATTGGATTTAGCTAAACCTAATGCTCACTTTTCCTGCAAAAGAGAAAGGAAGGGAAAGAACTCATGTCGAGAGGGTGGTCAAATAAGTGGTGATTCTCGAGAAAATATTTGCCTCCGCTTCGATACATATTTATTTTTTATATATTCAATCAATTATTGACTATAGTTTAAAATAATTATTACCAAAATTTATCGAAAACATTACCAAAATTATTATTTCCTCCTTCTAGCAATGTTTGCTTTTTTACAAAAATAAAAAAATAATTAAAATTTATTATTTTTTAAAAGTATATGCTATAATATTTTTTTTTAAATATAAATAAAAAATAAATATATAAAGAACATTCATGTCGAGAGGGTTGGTAAAATAAAGGTGGTGATTTTTCTCAGAGAAAATATTTTGCTCCGCTTGGCCGATACAGATAGGTTGGTATTTTATTTTATATATTTCAATCAATTATTGATTTATAAGTTCTCACAAAATAATTATTACAAAAATTTATCGAAAACATTCACCAAAATTATTATTTCCTCCTTCTAGCAATGTTTTGCTTTTTTTACAAAAATAAAAAATATATTTAAAATTTATTATTTTTTAAAAGTATATGCTATAATATTTTTTATTAAAATATAAATAAATACATATTATGAAACAAAGTATTGGATTAAAAGTTAAAATTTAAATTACTACCATATCGATCAGTAAAATTGTAAATGAAAAATCTGAGAGAAATAATTTTTTTATTTTATGCGTTAACTTATTGTTTAATATAAGAAAAAAAGTACTATTTAATAAATCGTTTTTCAGTAGAAAAAACTTTGTGGTGATCTTTTTTTATTTCGTTGGTGACGTCTAATTAAATTTGCGATTGTACATATAAATAAAAAATAAATATATAAAATATGGATAAAGTTAAAAAAATTACTATAATATTAAATTGTAAATAAAAACTTAAAATAAAATATTTATTTATTGCTGTTAACGTTTAATGAAAAAAAGTACTATTTAATATCTTTTTCAGTGAAAAACTTTTATATCTTTATTTATTTCGTTTGACGTTATTAAATTTGCTGAGTACATACATTTGATGAAAAATTTTTCCCATTTTTTTGACTAAAAAGTAAAAATTTGTGAGTAATTACGAGTTATGGGTGCAATTCTACACTCGGACATGTCACGTGTAAATGCAAAGAAAGTCAAGCGTAGCATGTGTTACGTCAGCTGAGAACTGAGAATTTGGCAGTTCATGTATTGGAAATTGGGATTGGACGTTTTGTGTTCGCAGTAAGAGACACGTTAGATTGCATTGGGGTTGTGCAATGTAATGGATAAGGTTTAAAAACACAAGCACATGTTGTGACAATCAAATATTCTACGTGTTACGATCGTTCGAGGTTTTTCGACGGGTATCAAAAAAAAATTAATGTTTTTAAATTAAAGAATTAAGTATAATCTGATTAAATTATTATTTATTTTAAAATTAAGAGTTATTTATAAATAGATTTATTATATTTAATAAAAAAAATAACCTTAAAAAGAATAATTTATTATGCATTAAAATTTGTAAAACGATTTATAATTTGAAATGAAATATTTTTTAAAAATTTAGTACTCTATCTATTCTACTTTAATAATAATATTTGTTTTTTATAATAGTTGAAAAAATAATTGAAATTTATTGGTCACTAAAAATATATGGTAAAATATGTAAGTTGTTATTTTTAAAATGAAAATCTCTTAAAACACTTAATAAATAAGTGTAAAGATGGGAAAAAAATATTAATACACTCTCAAAATTCTAAATAAGCACTTAAAATAAAACAAAGTAAAATATATATTTATTACTATTAAAATAGAACGGATTGAATATAAAAATAAATTATATCTAATAAATGTCGATAAAATTTAATATAATTTTAAATCTTAAATCAACACTTAAAATAAAAAAAATAAAATATTTACTTATTGTTATTAAAACGGAAGAGGGAGAGTAACGTAATTAAATTGATTAAAGAGTGAAAGGTAGTAAAAGATCTCCAACTCAGCTGCCGTGATCAGTGGCGCCTTCTACATCTTCTTGATTTCAAGCCCCTTTAATACGTCTTTTTGTTTTTTAGACTGTCAAACTGTATTGACAATCTTTGTCTTAGTTTGAAAATTAGTATCCCTCATTTATAAATATATATATATATAGAGGAAAATTTTTTATTTCAACATTCTTTTTATATACAAAATTTTATCTAATTTAATAATTTTAGGAACTACGTGAATGTGAAAAGTTTATCATATTTTTTCTTTTTTAGTCATTTTGTGAAATTTTTAGTGTGAAAAATTCTCAAGATAGTTGTATACAAAAATGTAGATGAGCATTTAATGTGAATAAATTTTTGAGATTCAATTTTTACATCAATTTTTGTTAAAAAAAAAATTGCTCGTATAGGGTATATGAGCATCCATTAAAATGAAGTTTGAAAAGAAAAAAGCCACAAAATTTTCAAGTTGACCACATTGAAAGGAATTTTTATAGATTTCATCGAATATTTAAAAAATTTCACAATATTTAAAGTATGTTTCAATAATTAAAAGCAGTTGAAAGGTTAAATGAACACAATTTTCCCACAACTTTTCTAAATAAATGAAAAAAAATAATCTCTCCATATGTCATAACATAAATTTCATTTTTACAACCGTCTGTATTATTTTCATTGCAAACTAAACATTTAAAACCTCATTGAAGATTGAAATAGAATTTAAGACATATGCGTTGATATCAGAGGAGGAACAAATGAAATATTAGGGTAAATTAGGACAAAATTTTGGCTAAATTATTTTCTTAATCGTGGTGAAAAATTAGTTGTTTCTATATAAAAAGAAGGGAGAAAGTAATTTTTTTTTTTTAGAATATTGAATATTAGTAGTTGGTCGGTGTTGTTTTTTTATGCGAAAGAAAACATTTATGTGCGTGTGAGAGTGCGTTGCGCTCGTGTTTACATCACTGCTTCTTAATTCTTATAAATGCTTAGACTTGGCCACGGTTCCGGAACCGGAACCGAACCGAAATGGTCCGGTTCCGGTTCCGGTTTGGAACCGTCCGGTTCCGGTTCCGATTTCGATTCCGGTTCCGATCCGATTACAAAACCGACGGTTCCAATTGGTTTTCCGGCGAATCGCATAATTTTAAATTTTAAATTTTGAATGCCGGTTTAAAAAAAAAATGCCGGTTTAAAAAAAAATTATTTGAACATAAAAATAAAAAATCACTTAAAAATTTAAATTGAGCCGTTATAAAAATTATTTGAACATAAAACATATAAAAATACTACCTAAAAAAAATTTTTAAAATTTTGAAGACGGTTTAAAAAAAAATTATTTGAAGACATAAATTAAAAAAATACACCTAAAAAATTAAAAATACTTCCATTAAAATTAATTTTTTAAAAGACTTTGAATGTTGAGTGCTGAACAATAATTAATTTTTAAAAAAAAATTTGAACTGATTTTTTTTTTTTAAGTTTGAACATAATTTAAAAAAAAAATGGGCTTGAACTTAATTTTTTTTTTTTGTTTAAAAAAAATTAAGTTGCCTATGTATCCTCTTGGAGTTTAGAGGAAACAAAGCCCACGTATTCTTAACTTACCTTATATCAATTTCAAACCCTTTTACTAATCGCTGTTTGCACCACCGTTGAAATGGATTCCCTTGAGGACGCCAGCGTATAAATCAAATAAATCTTCATTTCTTTGGATTTCTTAGGCCTCTTAAGTTCGCCTTGTGGTCCAATTCATCCATGCATGCTTGTGCTTCAGTGAATCGGTGTGTCTACGAAGATCGTGTTTCATCAGTATGTTTCCTCCTTGACTAAAACTTGTTCACCGCAACAGTGGAAGCCGGAACTTCTAAAAATTTTTTGCAAGTAAAGAAGAATTGGAAAATGTATTGTTGCGTGACGACTCCACCAATCTAAATTGGAAAATCAGTATCTGTTATGAATCATCATCAAACTCGAAAAAGAAGTTGTTAGATAATGTTAAGTCAAACTCAGAAATATAACTGGACTTCCCTTGTTCTTTTTTATCTTGTAGTAAAACTTGTTGAGGGCAACACGCAACACCAACTTACCCCTTTGTGTTGAAAAAATTGTGGAATATTAGATTGAGAAGAAGTTAGAAGTAGAAAGTAGATGAACTAGAAACG